CGGGATGCTGGGCGCGCGGGCGGAGGCCGGACTCTCCGAGTCGCTGGTGGGCTGAGCTGGCGCCGCGCGTCGTCCTCCTCGGGGCCGCGGCTTCCCGCCCCCTCGCCCCTTCCCCTCGCGGTCTACCGGGCTCTGGGGGCGTCTCGGCTTAGACGAGCCTTCCCGCCCCTTTTGCCCCCCCCAGGGCTCCAGGCAGCCAGCTGTGTGCCTTCCAACCCCAGGCGCCCAGCTTTGCCTCCCAGCCCGCCTGGGCACCCATCCGTCGGGCGGCCCTCGGGGACTGGGCTCTGGCCAGGAGGAGATAGCGCCTGGCAGCAGAGCTGGTCCCGAGTATAAATAGCTCGGTGTGCCGGCCGCCCGCCCGGGGCCAGGGCCGCGGGCTATATTTGGTGGGGCCACCTCCCTGAACGGTGCACGTGCGCGCCAGGCCTGGACCCTGGGGAGGGAAGCCCTCGGATCTTCCTTTCCCGCCCCTCCTTGTCCTCTTACTACGTCCCTAAATTCACCATTACACACCCACGCTCCAGCCAGCAGGCTGGATACAGGTGGGACAAGAAGTGGACTAGCCTCCCAGCCTCACGCTCCCAGCTCCCCAGCCTGAGGAAAAACTAGGAGGAGTTTTAGTTTTCTTATCTGAAAAGTGGGTTGATGACTAACTGGATGCTGGCCCATCAAGAGCAGGCACCTAGTGGAAGGAAAGCCCTGAGCTCTGGGCTGAGTGTGTGGGTCTGGGTTTGTGTACTGGTGTGTGGGTGGCACCTGGAGTCTGGGTTAGTGACAAAGGGGCAGCTGGGGGCCATATCCCAGAGGCACCGGGTTGCCTGTCTAGGCCACCCAAACTGACAGAATCACTCTGATGACCAGAGTCAGGACCACTTGGTAGGCTGAGGGGACTTGTCCAAAGCTTACAGCAGGCGTGGGTGCTGGTGGGGATGAGGGGGGTGGGAGGAGCTGGGGGGTGTCCAGAGGTCCTCAGCTTTGTTTTACAGGCCCAAGAGCTGGCTGGTGTCTGGTGGATGGGGAGAGGGATGGGGACAATCCCACAAGTGCCTGGGCTCTCGGGTGGGCAGGTGTGTGTGTCTTAAGTCGGTGATGGGGGCAGGTTTGCTCCTAACAGAACACTAGAGGCACTGCACTTTCCTGCCCAGGGCTCTGGTGTGGTCAGAGTCTCCTGTGGCCAATTGGGAGGCCTCATCCCAAGACAGACTCCCTGGGTGACCTTGGGTAGTGCCTGCTACCCAGAAGGCATCTGGCCCTCAATGCCCACAGCATGGATACCTATTTTGGAGGGACAGGAGAGGGCTCTGTTGACCCCAAGCAGCCCTCTAAGAGTGTGTATGGAGGGGGCCTGTGGGTGGGACCCCACAGCATGCCGTGTGCCGGGCTTGTAGGCTCCTGGGTTGTCCTGCGGTGACCTGACAGTGTGGGAAGGGAGGGGCCACTGAGGAGCCAAGTGCCAGCTGCACCTAAGGCCCGGGGCGGGGCCTTCTGCATGGTGGTGCTGAGCAATTGGAGGCACCTCTGGATCAGGCCGTGGGCCACCAGGCACTGGGCCCTGGCACAGGGGCGGGGCCTGCGGTCCCAGCCTCAGTCTCCATCTGTGGGAAGGGTCCCACGCTGCAGTCCTATGCACCCAGGTTGCGCGCCCCCGGCCAGAGTTGGAGTCTTGGCCGGGATGCGAAACTCTTGAGTTTAGGAATCAGCGGTCCCCAGCCGGGCTCACCGGTCCTGCCTCTGCGGAGCACAGAAGACGCCGCCCCAGCCCTAGGGGGCGCACCGCAGGGGGACGCGCGGCCCCTGCGGTGTGCGGGGCGGGGCGGTGGACGCTCAGCGCTGTACTGCTGCTGGGCAGACCCCGGTGGCACCCGCGCTGGCTAGTACGGTAGCGGAGGAAGGGCGCCTACTCCAGGCAATACGGCGGCGGCTCCTCCCTTGGCGCGGTCACGTCCCCCACGTCCCGCGGCCGGCCGCACGGGCGGAGCATCCTCCCCTTCCCCCTCCCGACCCAGCTCCGGTGGGACACGCCCAGAGTGGCCGACCCCCACCCGCAGCCGGGCGGCAGGAGCCAGCAGGCCCGTCCATCGGAGGAGGGGCCTCGGCTTCCCGCGCCCAGCCCTAGTGCCCTCGCCTCGTCTCACCTCTTCCCACCTGTCTCCCTCCACGCCTGATCCTGGGTGGGCGGGCACCTCCGGAGCCCTGGCCTTCAGGCGGAAGGCTGCAGGGGAGTGGAGGAATGGGTCCAGATGGCCGGGCGGAGGGGCAGCCCATGCAGGGTCCCACAGGCTTTGGTGTTGGGGGAGGGCAGCTCTGCGCTCACCCCAACCTCCACAGCAGCCTCAGCCACTGACCGCAGCCTTGCTGAGAACTAGAGCAGATCACCAGGGCTGTCCACTGTGTGGCAGCCAAGGGTAGAAGCCTCCTTGTAGGAGGTGGGACTTGAGGGCGCCATCCCTGGGGCCACACTTCTGGGGGTCCTAGCCGAGATCTGTACTCAGCCAGTTGCTAGCCTTGGGTGGCAGTATCCAGCCTGGCAAATGAGGCCAGTGTTTCCACCCCACTGGCCCCGCGAAGAGGATGTGAGCGGACAAGTGGGAGCCTGCAGGGGTAGGAGGCAGGCAGGGGAACCAGGGTGGAGGGCCCAGGCCAGCGCCCCGCCCCCACCAGCCTTCTGACCTCTCCCTGGAAGCCGCCCCTGCCCCTGTGTATCTCTGCACTGGTGGGGACAGGGCTGAGGGTGCTGGCTTCCTCCCGCAGGGAGGGGCACACTGCTGGTTACCTGATTATTTATTTATTTTTAGTTTTTGGTGGACACAACATCTTTATTTTATTTTTATGTGGTGCTGAGGATCCACCCCAGCGCCCCATGCATGCCAGGCGAGTGCTACCGCTTGAGCCACATGCCCAGCCCCGGTTACCTGTTTTCACGACAGTGTCAAAGAGGGAAGGAAGAATGGGAACCCGGAAGCAGGCCCTCCCTCTCCCTGATTCAGCACCTCCAACCCTCAAAGGCCAGGTCCTAGCACAAAGGGACTGTTTCCTTGGTTCTCAGGGGTCTGGAATTTGATTGAAGGAATATAATTGTCCCTGTGCCTGCCACCTGCCTGGGCCACAAAGGCAGGGTCGTTGCAGGGACCTGGCTGCACTCCTGGGGCTGACAGTCCAGCCTAAGGATTCAGGCTGCTGAAGGGTGAGGTTTCTGGGGAGGCCAAGAAAGAGCAGGCTGGGGCACAGGGTTGTATGGGAGGCCTGCAGTACAGGCAGAGGGGAGAGTACAGGGGCCCCACAGGCCTGACTTGGGAGGGTACCCTGGAGTCTCCCCGAGGGCCAAGGTTCTCCATGTACCCCTCCCATGAACTGTCCCCTGTCAGTTCCTGGTGGTCTGGGGTATGGGGCCTTGGAAGGACCTCCAGGGATCAGCCCTGGGGAGTACCTGGAGCTCCTGCTAACCCAGATGCACCCAGGGAGATCAGCTTTCTGTAACCCAGAGGCCAGTTTATTTCTGGGCTGGTTCACATGCTTCCCTGGGAGGGTAAATGTCACCAAAAGGCCAGGCTGCTGGGCGTGCCCATGGATACGCTGTGGGAGAGGGACCATGGTGGGTGCTGCTGCTTCCTCTGGGTGGAGACAGATGGATAATTAGCCTGCACACACCTCAGCCTACCTATGCTCAGGGTCCCTGGGAGGTGGAGCCACAGACTTGCTCTTCCTGAGCAGCCAGGTGTAAGAGGTCCCAGACCCTCACTCCACCTACCCTGCCCCAAGCCTGGCTGGCAGACAGCCAGCTTAAAGTCAACCTCTGGTCTGAAAAACCACAACCTTGCTGAAGCCTCACTCTGCAGCGTCTCTGGGTGACAGGTTGGAGTAGGCACTGGTGAGCCATTTCAGGGTGCCTGAGCTGGGTGGCAATGGACCACAGTGTTGGGCCCTGGTTGGGAGCTTCTGCCCCAGGCGCCACAATCTCCGTGGCACAGAGGATCTTCCACATGTGACCCTCACGTGGTAGCAACCAACTTTGAAGGGCCTAGAACATGCTGTGCTCTCCTGGCCTGAGTCCTGGCACCAGCCCCCCCTCTGCCTGCCTTCCCAAGCCACAGCCCAGGGGTGCTCTTCTCCAGCAGGTGGCAGATGTCTCTGCTTCCCAGCAGTCCCTACTGCCTTCTGAGGACCCTGGATGCCTCCAAGAGGGCCCAGCCCCGGTGGGCAGTGGACAAGCAAGGGGGACTTCAAAAGGCCGGGGTGCCTGTGATTTCCCCTAGCAGGACTGGGCAGGGCTGGTACAGCCCCAGCTGCCTCACTCTGTTTCTGGGGAGGACCCTGGGCATGTGGGGTCGGTCGGGCTGCTGCTGTGGCCATTACTGAGCACTCTCCTCCTGGACTTTGCAAGGCCCTCGATTCATTCATTTAAATTTTGCAGTACTCATGTGTGCTAGGCCAGGACTCTGCACTATGTCCCAGCCTGCCTGACTCGTTTCAGAAAGTGCTATAAGCATCCAAGGCCACACTCCAAGCAAGTGGGGGCTGGCAGGGACAATCGCCCCTCCCACATTGGCTCCTTCGCAGTGAGTGGTCCCTAGGGTGACTGGTCAGCTCCCTGCTGTGTGGGCTCTTAGGTCTTTTATCTAGGCACTAAGATGGCGCAGTGATCCTGCACTCAGTGCCCCTTGCAGTGTGTGCTCACTGTGCATGATGTTCCTCCTTTGGCCCCACTTCCAGCTGGGGGTCTCAGCTGGGCACAGCATCACAGAACTGGTGTGGCCCCTGCAGGGGGGATGGGGGGACGGGGAACCCAGCTGAGTGCAGTCTCTAGCATGCCTGAAGGTATCCTCTAGGGAAGACGTGGGGAAGGGGGTGGGGTGCGGCCCAAGCCTATCCCCTCCCCCCCAGGTACCTGCCGCAGGGGCGGTCACACCATGGACACTGGCTAACCTGACACACCAGGGCTGCATTTTCTTCCCCAGAGAGCTGGCTGGCTGCACACCACTGGTGGGAGACGCTGCGCAGGCTACACTGAAGGCCTCGGGTTCCAGACACCCAGGGACACAGACCCTGTCACAGCTCTCTCCCTGGTGAGGTGGGGGATGTGGGACTGGCAACTTCCAATGGCATGGGATGGGAAGGTGGAAATCTGGTCCCAGCATTCCAACTTACTCTGTCTTAGAGGAGCTAAGCTCCTGGAATTTACAAGGGAAGTCAGCCCTGGGCCTGTGTGGGGCTTAGGACAATCCGCTCCTTCCTTGGCAGCCTTGGGGGGGGCGGGCAATGGAAGCCTCCTCCTGACCTTCCTGGGTATACCGTAAGGTGCCCTCATCTGACCTATCGGGTCGGGACCCTTGGCCTCTCCCCAATCTGGCTTGTTCCCATACGAAGGCCTCTGCCCCGTACAGCCAGGAAGCTGAATAGGGGTGGGGAGAACAGGGGCAGGGAGGCTGACTCTTCTGGGGACAGGAGAGCAAGGGTAAGCCTGGCCATCTTATCTAGACAGCGGGGGCAGAGGTTGGCAGCACCCTCGCACGCCCTCCAGGGGAGGGCTTGACATGGTCCGAGGACTGGGAGGGGTGTTACATGCCAGCTCCTGCAGGCTTGTCCCCAGCGGGGTCTGCACTTTCCAGGAGGCAAAAGTCCTGGCTGAGCCCAAACCAGCCCTTGCCCTTCAGAAAGCCAGCCGCAGGAGCAGGAGGCTAGGGAGGGGTGGGTGCAGCAGGGCAGGTGGGTGCAGCGCTAGCCCTTGCCTGCCTCTGAGACTCTGGGCTCATTCACCCAACTCAGCCCTGCCTCCTCTCTCCCCAGGTGCGGCAGAACCAGCCCTCCTGGCCATGGGAGGAGCTGTGGTGGACGAGGGTCCCACAGGCGTCAAGGCCCCTGATGGGGGCTGGGGCTGGGCCGTGCTCTTCGGCTGCTTTGTCATCACGGGTTTCTCCTACGCCTTCCCCAAGGCGGTGAGCGTCTTCTTCAAGGAGCTCATGCGGGAGTTCGGGATTGGTTACAGCGACACAGCCTGGATCTCCTCCATCCTGCTGGCCATGCTCTACGGCACAGGTGAGGCCGTTGGCTCAGGGGCCACCTGTGGCAACGCCTGGGACAGGCTGGCCAAGTCCTGGTGGCCACAGGAGCCCAATGGGTGGGGCTTGTCCCAGGATTGAGCCCAAACCATTGTAGATCCACAGTGGCCTAAAGGGAGCCCTGGAGATGGGGACCTGCTAGAAAGCAGTGTCTCCACCCTGTCCCGACATGTGGGTTGTTCAGACAGTCCCAGAGGGCGAGGTCGTGGGGAGCCCTCCTCTGCACCATGGCTAGTCCTTGATGACCTTCCCAGGCCCACCAGAGCATCATGGGAATACGCCCCATGGGTGGCTGGGCTCTGCCCTTGGGGAACCTGGTCTGCAGGGCTCCTGGCATCCCCACTGAGTTGAGGGTGGCATTGGGAGGAGAGGCCCTGGGCACTGGACAGGCACAGCCTAGCTGGAGGCCGGGGCAGCCCCTCCTCAGCAGCCGCCTCCCCGCAGGTCCCCTCTGCAGCGTGTGTGTGAACCGCTTTGGCTGCAGGCCTGTCATGCTCGTGGGTGGCCTCTTCGCGTCCCTGGGCATGGTGGCTGCCTCCTTCTGTAGGAGCATCATCCAAGTCTACCTCACCACAGGGGTCATAACTGGTGAGCAGGGCCTGGCCGGGAGCTTCTGGGGGTGGGCTCTGGGGGAGCAGGGAGCACAGCCCAGAGGCAAGCAGCAGGGGTTCCTATCAGACCACACAGCACCGGGCCCTCGTGGAGGGCGGGGGCAGGGACGCAGGTCTGGGGCCGGGGAGGGTCTCACCCTGCGCCTGCGCCTGCCCCTGCCCCTGCAGGCTTGGGCCTGGCTCTCAACTTCCAACCCTCCCTCATCATGCTCAACCGCTACTTCAACAAGCGGCGCCCCATGGCCAATGGGCTGGCGGCCGCGGGCAGCCCAGTGTTCCTGTGTGCGCTGTCGCCGCTGGGGCAGCTGCTGCAGGACCGGTACGGCTGGCGGGGTGGCTTCCTCATCCTGGGCGGCCTGCTGCTCAACTGCTGCGTGTGCGCTGCGCTCATGAGGCCCCTGGTGGCACCCCAGCCGGCCGGGGCACCAGGCCCCCAGCGGCCTGCCCGGCGCCTGCTGGACCTGAGCGTCTTCCGGGACCGGGGCTTTGTCATCTACGCCGCCGCCGCCTCCATCATGGTGCTGGGGCTCTTCGTACCACCCGTGTTTGTGGTGAGCTACGCCAAGGACCTGGGTGTGCCCGACACGCAGGCTGCCTTCCTGCTCACCATCCTGGGCTTCATCGACATCTTCGCCAGGCCCACAGCTGGATTCATCACCGGGCTCAAGAAGGTGCGGCCCTACTCGGTCTACCTCTTCAGCTTCTCCATGTTCTTCAACGGCTTCACCGACCTGACGGGCTCCACCGCCAGCGACTACGGCGGCCTGGTGGTCTTCTGCATATTCTTCGGCATCTCCTACGGCATGGTGGGGGCCCTGCAGTTTGAGGTGCTCATGGCCATTGTGGGCACCCACAAGTTCTCCAGTGCCATTGGCCTTGTGCTGCTGCTGGAGGCTGTGGCTGTGCTCGTTGGACCCCCGTCGGGCGGTGAGTGCTGCTGAGGGCAAGGGCAGGCAGGCCCTGGGCTTCCTAGGGGCTCGCTGTGGGCCCTGGTCAGGAGTGAGCAGCGGGCCCCGAGCCGGGCAGGAACACCCACAGGCCTGGCAGCTGCTTTCAGGCCGTCTGCACACAGAGGGACGGCTTGCTGGGGGCCACTCCCGTGCTTGAAATTCTGGGCCTCTGCTGAGGAAACTCCCAGTGGGATCTGGAAAGTCCAACCGGAGGGCAGCATGGCCAGGTCCTGGCTCAAGGAGAGGCCACTTGGCAGGCCCTAGCCCCTTTGGCCCCTGGCCGTTCCTTTTCCTCAGAAGGATCCTGGGGTGGGGTGGGGTGGGTTGGGGTCGAAGGCCACACAAGTGGCCCTCCCTGTCTTGGGGTTGCTTGGTCACAGGGCACAGGGCCAGGCTGAGTCCAGCAGTGCCCCTCCTGAGTGGGCAGCAGGGCCACACCTGGGTACTCTGCAATGCCACTTCTGCTTTTAGGGCCTGTCTCTACTCTCTTGAGAGGAGGCAGGAGGGGACGTGGGGACGTGGGGATAGCAGGAAGACCTCAGAGGGCCTCGGGGGAGGGAGAGGGGGCACTTCTGCAAGTCAGACACCACAGGGGCTTCTGTAGGAGCCGGCCCTGGGGTGTGGCCGTGCCCTTGGAGCAGCTGGTGACCCAAGTCCCCCTGCAGGCAAGCTGCTGGACGCAACCCACGTCTACAAGTACGTGTTCATCCTGGCGGGGATTGAGGTGCTCACCTCCTCCCTGGTGCTGCTGCTGGGCAACTTCTTCTGCATCAGGAAGAAGCCCGAGGCGTCACAGCCTGAGGAGGCTACCTCGGAGGCAGAGAGGCTCCATAAGCCCCCCACGGATGTGAGGGTGGACTCCCGGGAGGTGGAACACTTCCTGAAGGCAGAGCCTGAGAAAAACGGGGAGGTGGTCCACACCCCGGAGACCAGCGTGTGAGTGGCCTGGCGGGGCTGGCAGGGTGCAGGGAAGAGCTACAGAGACTGGCAACGCTTGTATTTATTTCACAAACAGGACCAGCTTAGGCAGGGCCACTGGCTCAGCGCTGGATGCTGGTCATCGGGTCATCACCTGACCTGTGTTTTGCGGGGAAGGTGGCGGGGTGGGAACGTGTCATTCCACAGCGGATCTGCGGTGAAGCCAAGCCCATGGTTACAAGCCGCCTGCTCACCCCAAGCAGCCCATGCCCCCCACGTGGTCAAGGACCTAGAAGCCCAGGCTTTGAGACAACATGACTTTAATAGGAGGGCGGGCTGGGGCGGGCTGGCGAGCGGACACCTCCTCGAGGCCTTCCCTGGTGCCTGACTGACCCCCCGTCCTGCCCTCGCCTCCTACGGTGCCCACCCCTCTCTGTCTAGGGTACAAAGAGCTCATTCCACCTGTGAAGGTGCGAAATAAACCTGCGTGTGGCAGGAGTCTGGGGGGCCTGGTCCTCGGAGCTACGTGTGGTGTGTGCTGGTGTACCCTCAGCTCGCTTGGGTTTGGAAATGACCTGGTTGTTCTTACAAACTGCTCTGGTCCTCGTCAGTTTTCCTACTGCTGTCTGCTCTGGAACATTCCCTGAGCAGCGACTGTGTTCACAGGGCACAGAGGGTGGACAGAAGGGGGCAGGCAGGGAGGGGGCTGCAAGCTAGAGGGGCCCCAGCTGGGTGCCTGGACCCGCAGGACCCAGTGTGGTGCGAGGGCTGAGTGGAGGTGCAGTGGGAGCTCCGTTTCCTGCGTGTGGCCTCAAGACACACTTTCCTGCCTTCCATTTATTTGTCCCCTGGTTGGCTGGTAGATTTGCTCTATGTGGCCAGCGCCTGCTGATCTCTGCTCCCCGTCCTCCTCCATCCAGCCCGTGCTCAGCGCTCGGGCTTGCCCTGGGCACCTCACACCCACCTGCCCTTGTGGCCAGCGGCGGCCTGCGTGGCTGGGAGCCCGGTCAGAGGCAGCTGAAGCCCCTCAGTAGGTGGTGCGTCGTGGGCGCTGGGGACGGCAGCGGGCACCCTGACGGGCCGCGTGCAGCCGAAGAGACGCCATGTCCCTGCTCCTCTGCAACGAAAAGGAGGCGAGAGCTCACGTCTCGGGCCCAGTCTCTCCTCTGTCCCGACCTCGCTTTGTTGGGCCCGGGCCCTGGCCCTGTCCACTTCTGTGAGGAAGCCAGGGGCAGTTTCATCTGCTGGCAGCCCTGATACAGTCCCATGGCTCTGGGGTGCCCTTGCCTTCTCTGGTCTCCCTGTACCCTAAATCAGGGGCTTGGCTGGTGGGCAGTGCTAGCAGCTGCAGGGGTGATGGGCTAGACCAGATGGCCCAGGGCCATACATGTCCTCAGGTTATCAACCTTGCCACATGCAGTGGGAACAGTGGGAACCCCAGGCCTCAGGACAGGATGAGTCCAGGTCATGGTCACAGGCAATCTCCAGGAACCAGAGGGCGGCATAAAACATGGGAAGCGGGTTCTAGGAAAGTGTAGAGCCTCGGTGGCATGTAGCTAATGCTCCCCTCTCTCAGGCACCCCGACTCAGGGCCCCTGGGGGCCCCAAGACCTGCTTTCTTCCCTCCTGGACCTGGCTGCCCCTGAAACTAAGGCAAGAGCTGATCCACCACCAATGATCACTCTCTCCTGGTTCCTGAGTCTCCCACCTACAGCGGGCCCTCTTCCCCTGGGTGACTGCTCCAGGGCTGTCAGGCCTTTCCCTCCTGTCCCACACTTACACCCTGAGCACGTGGCCAGGGCATAAGAGAGCCAGGAAATGGTGATTCCTGAAAGTTAGGCTTTGGGGACCCGAGTGATTCTGAGATGGTCAGGATGTTGGGATGCTCCCTGGGAAGACGACTACAGCTCGGCTGGGAAGGACCCACTGTGGGTTTGCCCTTTCCTGGGGGAAGCAGCATGGCCCTGAAGCCCTCCAGACCTATGAGCCAGTGGTTCTAGATGGTCTCCAAGCACAGGGAAAAGGACACTTCACATCCTTAAGCTGTGGCTGCTAGGCAGGTGATACTGACCAGTGGGCAAGGTATGTGGCAGAGGATCAAGAGAGTCAAGGAAGGCCCCAAATACCCTGGAGGAAGCTGAGGCACACCAGAACCTGGGCTATGACCAGGGCTGCCCCACAGGGAGGATCTGGGCAGCAAAGGAGCTCACATGCAGCACCCTGTGAAGGCCAACCCTGAGCAGCACATCCATCAGGCCCATGCCAAGTGCGCCCACGCAGGCCTGTAGAGAGCACAGACATCCCCTGGTCCCCACACCAGCACTGGGGTCCAACAACCTGGGCTGCTGCCTGTTCACGTGCTGGGGGTGCAACTCTGATCCCTGCCCTCATGCTCTCCTGGGCCGCTACCAAGAACTCCCAGGTCCAAGCATGTGTGGGACCCAGAGAGGGCCTTGGTGGCTGGGGGACACCATGTCCTGAACCCCTGAGAGGCCCACTGAGGGGCTCAACACTGCAGCCTGGCCTCAGGGATGCAGGATCACAACAGCTCCTCACCTCCAGCACTGGCACCCTTAAAGGTTCATGGCACCCAAATGTGGACGGCTGCAGAGGCAGTGGGTGAACCACCACCCCATGCCTTCTGGTTCTGCTTGGGGAAGGTGCCAGCCTGGGCAGAGCTGACAAAAGTGTCTTGGCCCACAGCCAGGGAGGGGAGGGACAGGGTGATCCCTGCCAGCACCTCCGGGAACCCATGTGAGGCAGGAATGACCAACTTGGGATGTCTGGGGAACAGGCAGGCTGCAGGGGGCTTGGGAAAGGCAATTCAAGCCCAGGGCCAGGCATCCTGGTTACGGGCGTCTAGCTGGGTGAGATGGCAGGAAGGCACTGCAGGAGTCTGGCAGGACTGCCGGGGAGCTCCCCTCTGGCACATGCGCACATGCCTGCACAGGGCTTGTCTGTTCCTGGCTCCAGCAACCTCCAAGTGGGTGGACTAGGAAGTCCTGTCCACACCCGACTGCTGCAAATGCACCCTGACCCAGGGGGGCCTGGCTGCTGCCTGCAGAAAGGCAGACCAGGAGGTTAGGAGAGGCCTGGGCGCAGCTCCAGCAGCAGCGGCCTGATGCCCACCCTGAGAAGATATGTTGTGGAGAAGTGTTCGCCCTCTCCCTGCACCTATGGGAATTTGAGTAGCAGTCACCATAGGGAAAATGCTGTCCACTGTGGGGTTCACCAGTCATCTTGCTAGCTCGCTCATTGCCTACTTTCCAGAAAGCCTGAGGTGCTGGTGTGCTTCTGGCCAACGTAGCCCCTGGGGCATGGAGGTCAGGGGACTATCTCCCAAAGGGCACTAGGCTGGAGAGGGGCCCTTGGAATCACTGCATGCACCCCCGGCTCCAGCTCACACCCACCACAGTCCGCTCTGGGGAGGTGGGAGGTGTCCTTCTGGAGCCTGCTCTAAGCAGGTCCTCAACACCACAGGCTAAGAGGACAAGCAGACTGCCACCCTCCCTGTCAGTTTCCCATGGTCAACCTGAACCCTTGGAAAACTCAGCTGATGAAATAAAGACCACTCAAAAGGGGCTGGGAACAAAGGTAGAAGTCATTATGAATTTATTATTTACATAATTGTTAAAGTACACAAATACAGTGGTAGTACAAATGCACAGCTCAGAGACTGGTCACAAGACACAGGATGATACACACTCAACTACGCTGCCTGCCAGTGATGACGGGGTTACATACTGGCCGAGAACTGCAACAGCCACACCCGAGGGATCAGGACGGGTCTGTTCCCAGTGCAAGCCAGCAGTCCCAGGCCAGGCCTGGTGCAGGGTCGGAGGCTGCCTGCCACCAGCCTTCTGGAACCCTGTTGGGACCATGGGTATTGACAAAGGGTACTTGCCACACGGGACGGCTGCTGACAGGCCAAGGCCCAACTCTAATGAAGGGGTTCGCCACCACGAAAACCTCACACTCACCATGACCCGTCCCAAACTCCCTCAGCACTCCCAGAAATGCAGCCCACCCAGTCAAGGCCCCACACTCCAAAATGCTAACAGAGTACCCAGTTCAGGATTCAGGAAGCAGCACTCACAGGCTTAGGAAGATGGCCGGCCCACTGGACAGCGCCACTGTGCGCGGGGACACCACGGCACACCAGCAGCCCACTGCGGTGCTGTGCCAGGGAGCTCTGGGGAAGGAGGGGCAGCCACAGTGGCGCTGTCAGGCCCCACCAAGGGTGCCGGCTACCAGTAGCACTCACTCCACAGGCTGGCAGAAGAAATGGAAACGGACCCATGCACATGTATACCGCACCCCATTTCCCAGATGGGAGCCCCCAGAACCACTGCTGTCTCTACCATCTGTGTATGACAGCACAGAATCTCAGCAGGGAAGAGCATCTTAAATTCTAGCTGCATCAGCAGAGCAGCCAGTGCCCACAGCACAGGACAGGACAGGAAGAGACTGGACTGGCTCACAGGGGCTGCCTCCTCACAGACGTCCAGCTCAAGGTCATGAAGTAGGTGGTGCCACCTTTCTGGAGGCGAAGATTCTCGGTGCAGCTGGACAGGCACCCGACTTGGCGCTTTAGGGCGGGTTCCCTTCAGCACACCCTGAGTCTGTGAGGACAGCCTGCTCCCTAGCTTCCAGCAGAGGCGATGGCGGTGACCATGTGCGCAGCAGTGTGTAAGCTGTTCAGAAACTTCGCAAAGTCAAAGGTAGAGAGGAACCACCACCAAAGTGACCACACGGGACCCCCAACAGGACCTCGGGGTGGCCGACTCACAGTCCTCTCCCCCCAGAAAACCAGGAACGCACACCCAGCTTTGAGTCTCGGAACTCCCCAGGCCTCTGCCTGGGCACCGCAGAGCTCTGACCCCCAAGGCCTCACTCCCTTCTCCGCGGCAGCCTGAGCCTAACCTGCATTCGACCAGGCACCTCAGCCTGCAGTGGGGGGTGGCTGGTGGGTCCGAGGCACACAGGCGCATACAACCACAACTTCGGACGAGATTTTTCTCTCAACGGACAACACAACACGAGAAAACAAACAAACAGAACACACATCCTTGTCCTTCACGTGCGCCCCTCTTCTGCCTCCATCTCACACAGACGCTCCAGCCAGGGCCTGTCTCAGGAGTCTTTGAAATCAACATCTTTTTTAAGACCGCAAAAGACAAGAAAGAAACAATAAAAAGACGGATTTCTTTACACAGATTTAAGCCAGTAATTTTTAGCAAAATGATACAAAACTGTCTTAACCAAGTAGAAGACTGGTAGTTGCAGTGGGATCGTCAGGGAGCACAGGTTCGCCACCACTGGAAGGAGCTGCGGCTCTTGACAGGGAGTTGGGTTCTCTATGCAAGTCTCCCACACTCTGCTCTTCTGCCCAGCCCCGTGGAAACCGGGCTCACGTGGGGGCCACGCCGGCAGCCCCTGGCGATGGCGGCTCTCAGAGCCTGTCCGTTTAGTTTGTTTTGATTCCCCATGAGCATCGCTGGGTGAGTGGCCTGGAGGGCTCCCGGCGTTAACATTTCGGGTCTAGACCGGGGGGCGTGTCACTAGTAAAGCCATTGGTAACAGAGTAGATCAGCCATGCATTGTCTGCCCTTCACAGCAAAAAGGAGAGTCTCATCGGTGCACGACAGACTGAAGACCGCTGGAAGCCACCCGACCAGGAATCTGTCGGAGCCAAAGCACAGGACAAGGTCAGCATGAGGCCAGAGGGGCTGGCCAGCAAGGTGATAGGCACAAGTACCACACGATGCATCCCGGGGAGGGGACACACTGCTGCCTGGCCCCAGTCTAGACACCCGTGCCCCAGCTGCACAGATGGGGGCTCTGCAGCCAGAACACGTGCTGAGCAGAACAAGTGACAGGAAGAGGGAAAGGAAGAAGAGGCGTGCAAGCCAGGAGACCGCAGGGCTGCGCTCAGCAGCGATGGCAAGGATCCAAGTTGGGCAGAGATGCCCACTCCCAGGGTCCCCTCCTGAGAAGCAAACGGTTGCTCTAAAAACAGGCACCCCACTTGGGGGAAGATAGGAAAAGCAGTCTTGTCGACGCATCTCCGAGAGTGTGCATGGTGTTAACACTGCATGGGTCCCCAGCACTCCGAGCCCTGGGAAAACCAAGCCCCTGCGGGAAGGAGCCACAAGTGCCACGTGGCTGACAAGAAGGGAGCGCAGCGTAGACACCCGGCCATGCACCGATGGTAGGGAGCAGGTGGCTGTGGCTGGGTGGGTTAACACAGACGACAGCTGCGTGGACAGGATGGCTGGGCAGGGACCAAGTTTGGAAAGAACACAAAATGAGGACAGAGATAAATGAGAGAGGAAGTGGGACGACTGAAAAAGCCGGGATAGGTAGAGACCACCAGGAGCCTGAAGGCAGCAAGAGCTCAAGAGCCCGACACCAAGCGTGGCGCCACTCAGCTGAGCACGACAGACATGCCCAACTGCAGCACAGGGAGGCCAAAGGCGAGGCCACAGCGGATGGATCTTCCCCCAGACTGGGCAGCTGACCACGGCTGCTCTAGGACCCACGCAGGGAGAACAAAGCAGAAGAAGCCTCACTCTACTGCCAGCACCTGGCATGCAAGCCCAGCCCACTGAGTCCCCAAGGCGGTGGGGAGTGGTGGCTCCCTCCCCGCCTGGCGCTGGTCATCTGCTGAGCCCCACCATGAGCACACTCACCCAGTGCTGCCTTCCGCGGAGACGAGCAGCTACTTGCCGTGGTGTTCGAAAGGAATGCTATTCTGAGGTGGGGAAAAGACAGCTGTTGGTAAGCGTCCCTCTGGCTGGACCAGCACGCGAGGCCCCGACCCGACTGCCCACGTGGGGCCTGTGTGCGGACGTGCCTCCTTGCCTTGGCCAGGTCCACAGATGCTGACAGTGCCACCTCAGGAACCAGGGAGGGAAAGTCGATCTCTCCACGCGGCTCAGGGCTCACTGCCCTCTCATTGCTGGCCCTCCGATGAGAGTGGCCACTCTTTCTCCAGAAATGAGGACACGCGACAGACCCTCCTGATTGCAAATGCACTGAGAGGCCAGCATCCAGGGGAATGGTAGGGCTGGGCAGGCCCTACAGGGTTCCTCAGCATCTCCCAGGAGACACTACCTCATTAATGGAGGCGCTGGGCTACAAACCTTATTTGGGAGCAGGGTGTGGATTCAATGAGCCATCAAAAGGAGTAACTGGCACCTTTATGGACAGTACTGAACAAGGAAGGCCCCTCTTAGGGGTCACTGGCCAGACACTCTGCAGGTCCGTGTTCTTGTGGTTGATGAGAACACCTTACACCTGCAGACCAGGCCAGGTGGGATTCTTGGGCTCCCCAGAGGCTAGCTAACACAGTGGCCCTTTAGAAGACAAAGGGCCCAAGAGGAAGCAGTCACCTTCAAGCCAAGCCGAGGCAGCGACAAGGATCTATGACAGTGAGGCTGTCTTCAACCTGCACATAGTACTGTGGAGTCGCCACACCTCAGCAAGGGCGACGTCTGTAGCATTGTCCAGACATACCCAAGGGTGCGAGGACCAGAGAGTGCCACAGAAATTTCCAATACCTCGCTGCACTCCCAGGAGGGCCTGCTTCTCACACTTGGGTCCTCCTACCTTATCCCCACTCTTGAGAGGGCTCCAAGGGGTGACTATAGAACTGTGGAAGCTGGAGTAATCCCTAGTCCTTTGGCTGCCAAACACATGGCTATGGGTCTAGAAACAGCTGGTAGAGGGGAGAACTCTTATTTGAACCCTTGGATTAAAAATAGGGGCAGTTACTGAGCACACTGGTATTGGCACGCTGGAGGGAAAGGGATGCTCTGAAGGCCACATGCACTCTGGAGTCCAACAAACCTGTCCTAAAGGTCGGTGAGGTAAAAGCCAGTCCTGGGGTGGGATGGAAACATTGGGGACAGTCTCAACACAAGCAGGCTCCAGAACCTTTACCTCAGTAGCCAGAGGGAAAGCCCAGCTGCTTCTATGGAAGGAGGAGCCCTCCTTGATGGCTTGGAGCCTCCCTGTGTTCAAGCCCACGTTACACCTCTTCACACAGCCACAAGAGGCCAAGCAAACAGGCAGAATGCTGAGCCCACAGTGCAGAAGGAAACACACTATTGTAACCACGAGCAAAAGACAGTCCTGCCCTGGTACTGGCTGGGGCCACGTGCTAAGAGGAGGCTGCTGAGTTGCAGCTTTGACTGCCTGGCTCCTGCAGGGCCTTCTGACATTCGTTTCCCTCTACTACCAAATCCCCAACTATCAGATGTTTCATTTTCTTAAAACCCAGCCCTTTCCTTACGCTGTGCCTGCCCAGAATGTACTCAAAGAGGCCCTTGTGGATGCTAACACCTATAGAAGAGGCCTGTTGATCCCTGGGTGCTGTGAGGGAGCAGTGTTTGCCTCTGCCCACCAAGGGACCACTCTCACAAAGCTGGTCAGAGCCCCGAGGCACAGCAGTTCAAGCAGCTCCTCACAGACTTCCTGCAGCTCTGGTCTCCAAGAAATCCACAACACAAAAGTCCACGGCTGTGGAGACCACCGGCAGGTCAGAGATGCTCAGTATGCCCTTGTTCACAGTACGCCTGTTACAGTCTTCCTGCTCCTTCCGGGCCAGCCCTGGCGCAGGCTGAGCTTTGGTGGCCCAGGGACACTGCATTTGCTCAGCAACATGCTCAGCTCCACAAGTGGGGCAGCAAGCTGCACAGGTCCTTCCTAGAGACCAGATGGATGCCGCCCCATGACAGAGCTAGGCTGGTGCCAGTGCACTTCTGAGATGAGCTCCTGCTCACCTGGGAAGACTCCTTGGAGTGATCCAGAGAGCAACAGCCCTGCTGGAGCTTATCCCTGACCCCTTACCCCACCCACGGGTGGCAGACCCTAAACTCATATGAAGCAAAGAAACGGACACATTTAGTAAAAGTGGTTCTGGTGTGTGCAGAGAGGCACGTTAGAGTGTGTAAGGACTGCAAAGGCAGAGCAAGAGGAGGATGTGAGGAAGGAATGGCTATGAGAGGAAGAGGCCTGGCAGGGGCCCAGGCCTGTTTCCAAGTATTTCCTTCTCAGAGGATCAGACCCGACCAGCGAACGATGGGCCCCTAGTGGCAAGACGCACCCCCCCGCAAAGCCACCATTGGAGCCCTTGGAGGCTCCTACAGGCCCCTGCACTCGGCTGCAGGGATGACTGGCATGAGGTTCCTCACGGGGACCCTTCCTGTGGAGCCGCCCCTTCCCAGGCGCTCTGTTAGGGTGGGCTCCCAGCAACTGGCGACAAAGGAGCCTGGAGGTAGTGTGCCACAGCCTCCCCTCAGAGGTGTAACCACAGTGTGGAGCCCTGCCTGGGGGGGAAAGGAGGTGGGACCTCGCCTGGAGATCACAGAAGGGAGAAGCTCCACAGAGTTCCCTGCTGGGATAGCAGCTGTGGCTGGGAAAACAAGTCCACCAGCAGCTCAGCGTAGCTCAGGCTCCAACCAAAAGGCAAACAAGAACTAAGAGCATGCTTTGCCCGCCAGGTGAACTCAGAGATGTGGGCGGGGAGGTCCAGGGAGTGAGAAGGAAACAGACCCTTCACATCTCACCCCACTCTTGACAGTGCGCCTGGAAGGCCAGGCCAATGTGTGTCCCTATACCTGGGCCTGGACTGCCCTGGCCATGGCCAGCTCTGATCACATACCTGTGAGGTGGACATGCGAGAGGTATCTTGTCGGCCCGTGAGATCTGACGAGGAGACGTTGACTGGGGCCCCTCGGTGCAGCCGCATGCTCACTTTCCGCTCCCGTTCCATGCCAGAGACAGGCCGAGGAGAGGTGTTGGCTAGAGAGGGAAAGAGCCATGGCTGCTGAGGCCCTGTGGCTTCCCACATCCCACTGGCCTGCCACAGACCACCACAAGGGCTCTGGATGGATTCTCCCACATCTGTTCACAGCTCACTGATCCAGGCAGCCCAGCAACACTGGCTGGCAGTGCACTCTGAGCCCAACATCATTGCACACAGAGGACTGAGAAGTTCATGAGGGGGACACTTCTGTATGGGAAGGAAGTTTCATCTGAGAAATCACCAACCCTGGTGGAGAGCTTTCAGGGAACCCAATATCCCACAGGCTGTGTGCCCTGGCCTCTCTACTCCCAAGGACTGACTCAAGTAGGGGCAAACGCAGCATCAATCAATACCTAGTGTGTCTGGCCTGGGCTCCCAAAAGGCCACCAAACACAAGATAGACGGAAACCCGGTGTTAACTCCGTGGGCCTGCTGGGAGGTGTGCTCACCCGTGTGTGAGGTAGGGGTCAGGGGTGTTGGGGGAGCCACTTCCTGGGTCCCCCGCAGGCGGCCAGAGGCTGTGGAAGGGAGGCCACGGGTGGCTGGATTCCGGGAGTGTCTCAATCGCTCCTCTCGGTCCCGGCGTTCCCGTTCAGCATCATCTGCAGCCCGGCTGGCACCCTGAGGAAGACACAGCACCATCCCATTGAGTGGCAAGAGCCTGCCTCCTAGAGGAAACCCAATTCCTGCTGCTGTGGCAAAAGGACCTGGGTCTGTCTGGCTTCTATCTTTGAGTCTTTACCTGTGAACATGATTGTGCATGGGGGAGGGGGACAATGGGAGACTGCCCAGACCAGGGTAGGACAGGGTGGCAGCAATGGGTCACAAAAGGGACCAGCCAGAGTCCAGATCCTAGACCAAAGGGAAGGTCATGTCAGTGATGACAGCCCCACCTGCCCCATGCACACTCAGGTCCCTGTGGGACCACCCCAGTGCTCTGGGCATCTGACTGTGAGCAGCTAAGCTGAGGCACCAGCTTACTGATGGTCTGTTCTCACCACCAACGCTACCAAGCAGACTCTGCAAACCAGCCCACAGCCAAATTCCAGTGCCATCCGTATTACTGGACAGAGACACACCTCTACCCACTCCCAGGTGGCCCATGGCTGCCATGAGGCTATATGGAAGAACTAAGGGATTGTGACCCTGCATAGCCAGGAAAGCTGGTGATGTGTTACTTGTCCCTTTCCAGAGCAGCTCTGACTGGCTGGCTGTGAGACCAAGATAGCGCAGAAACCACACTGGAGAAGGGTGCTCTGGTGCTCCGCACTGGGCAACCTGCAGAAGCAGCACAGCACTGTCCTCTCAACCCGGCAAAGGCACCAGGTCCTGTAGCCTGGGCCAGCCCACTCTGCAGAGCGCTCTCCTCCCAGCACCATGCTTGGTCAGATGGCTCTAGTTCAGGGTTCACCCTTGCCCCTCGGGGAGACTGGACTCATGGAAAGTGGTTTAGACAAGACAAGGCTTCTAATTTTGCACTCCTTAGAAGACACCTCTGTTCCTCCACTGGATTTGATAATCAGGTTTTAATTTCTATTTCCACCTACAAAGGATACATTTTTAATAAAAGAAGACACAAAAATTCCCCAGAAACTTGAATTCTGTCAGTGGTGTCTAATGTTAGTGATTTAAACTCACATTGCCAACCCAAGATGGGTGGCCCAGCGGCTACCAGCAGTGTGCCATGTGCTGGTAGGTACCAGGCTACATCCCTACAGGGGGCTAGCCCCCAGGTTCTCTGAATTGGTGATGGCAAGATGGGTACAGCGGTGCATGTCTGTAATCCCAGAGACTTGGGAGGCTGAAGCAGGAGGATCATGAGTTGAAGGCCAGCCTGGGCAACTTAGAGACCGAGTCTCAAAATGAAAAATAAAGAGGGCTAGGGATGTGGCTCAGTGATAGGAAGAGTGCCCTGAGTTCCAACCTGGGTACTCTGCTCTGGGCAGATCTGCACCATGGGCTCACTCCAGGGCATACACTACTCACACCAGCAGTCTCCACAGGCCCCTTTGCTTGCCCTGATGGCAGCTTGCTTCTTAGAATCCTGAGCCTGCAGGTAGATGCCCACAGAAGACCAAAGTTGTACCAGATGTGCTCAGCTTTCACACCTCAGCCAGTGACTTTGACACCTGAATCCCACACAGTACAGATCTGCACGCAAAACTAGGAGGTGCAGCTCTGACCTACCCAGGGTTGGACTTGGACTTGCCTGTCCCAGGAGGAGACAGGACTGAGTGGGCAATGCCACTTACAAACTTGAGCATGTTCCAGTCGAACACATAGTCGTAGGAGAAGCCCTGGCGGTGGAACAAGTTTCTGAAGAGCTGCCTCAGGTAGGAGTAGTCGGGCTTGTCATCAAAGCGCAAGGAGCGGCAAAAGTTCAGGTACGTGGCAAACTCAGCTGTAAAACAAGGAAAGACCTGAGGCTAATGACGGAGGCCGACTACAACCCAGAGTGGAGTTATCAACCCCTGCACACCACCCTGGCTCTTCACACTGGAGGCATGCAGGTGAAATCTGAGGAGGATTTCACAGTCATGCTGAGGAGGAGCTGCTGGGAGCAAGCAGGGGCTAGGGATGGAGCTAGGTTAAGTGCCATCACGAATTAGTGAATCCCAAGTCCAGATGTATGTTTGTTTTTTTTTTTTTTTAATATTTATTTATTTTTATTCGGCAGACACAACATCTTTGTTTGTATGTGGTGCTGAGGATCGAACCCGGGCCGCACGCATGCCAGGCGAGCGCGCTACCGCTTGAGCCACATCCCCAGCCCCCCAGATGTATGTTGATGGAGCTGTATCAAGCTGTTCCCACTAGGTTCTTATTCTCTTGAAAGAACAAGAGACCCTGGGTTTTAGCCTATCCCCAAAGAACACAAAAAGTCACTACCACAGGACAAAATTTAGTTTTTATCTAGTTAATTTATCTTAGGGGCAGTCACAAAACACAGACAGCGCCCCTGGGTTATCTGGGGAGGCTGAAGTAGAGTAGGGGCAGCTGAATGCAGTCAGTTTAAAGGCAGAATAATCACTGTGTCCCTCCCCTTCCTAAGTGCACAGGCAGTTTTCTGAGGCTGGGTCCTGTCTCTCCCGAGCCTCATAGAAAGGCTCTCAAAAATGCATCAGCAGGAGAGGGTTGCCTGTTACCATAACACAGAATCACCCCTTTCTTGCCACCCTTCTTGTAGAAGATGTAGGCAGAGTGACTCTGCAGTGGCCCTGGGCACAGGCCCACCCCACACAGGAACAGGCTGTGGCTGCTACAAGGAAGGACAGCGAGGGACTCACAGGGATAGCCTTTGCACAGCACTTCGATGGGAGTAGACATCTTCTTCTCACTGATCCTCTCATACTTCTGCCTCTTGGTGGCGGCCTTCAGCCCCTGCCAGGGGAGAGAGCCCAGGTTGAAGTACATCAGCACGTACCCCAGAGACTCCAGGTCGTCCCTTCGAGATTGTTCTGGAAAGAAAAGGGGAAAGTGTGAAGGGCAGTACATGTGTGCACATATAAAAGCAAAAGATTAAGCAAGCATGACCATAGAAGCCAACTTTAAAAATAGCAGAAAAATAGCCAGGTGTGGTGGTGTGGCAGTGTAACTCCAGCAACTCGGGAGGCTGAGGCAGAATGATCCCAAGTCCAAGGCTAGCCTTAACAACTTAGTGAGACCCTGTCTTGAAATCAAAAACAAAAGGGATCGGGAGGGGGGTTGTAGCTTACTGGTAGAACACCCTGGGGTCCAAAATTCCCAGTATATCACACACACACACACACACACAAAAAAAAAAAAGTGTGCGCATACACACATAAAAACATTTTAAAATAACAGAAAAATGTACGTGAATGGCTTCTTTACCAGAAGTGTCCCTTGCATGCTATTAAGGAAATCCCCAAACACCCCAGCTGAGTACCATCAGTGGCTCCAGCAGTCCTGAAGCTAGCCTGTCTGCTATGATGGTTGGACAACAGCCTCCAGACCTCTGGGTTCTGAGCACTGTACATGTCCACAACCCCAAGGTCACCTGAGAAGCTGGCCTTTCCCAAAGCTGAGGGACAGATATGCCCAGTGGCACCACGACCTAGGCTCACCGATTCCGAGGTGTGTGTTGATGGAGGCGTACCGCGCCGTCCCAGTGAGGTTCTTGTTCTCTCGGTACGGAATGTGCTGGTGGGTCCTCGCATCCCGGTACTTCTTGGCCAGCCCAAAGTCAATGATGTAGACCAGGTTGCCCTTTTTCCCCAGGCCCATGAGGAAGTTATCTGGCTTCACATCTCGATGGATGAAGTTCTTTGAATGAATGTACTCAATACGACTAATCTACAAGGGGAGAATCAATGAAAGAAGCAATTCAAGACCTCTTAGAACACCAGCCTCAAGAGAGGCACATGCTCTCTCTTCCTCAGCCAGAGCAGAGTGAACACACCACCACGAAGGTGGACTGGAAACTGACCAGTTGCATCCCCAGGCAGCTCCAGCTCTCCTGCCCCAGGCCTGGGTGTCTCCTCTCCCTAGCTCTACAGGGGTGGACAGACAAAAGACTCTGTTAGGCAATAGTGTCCACCAGCGAGACTCTGCACAGGCCACACACAAGAATCCCCCTCAGAAACCATACCAGAGTTGCTAGGAATCAACTGTGTGATCCTGAGAGAACTTGGGAAGCCCATTCAACGCAACCACATACTCAGGGTGGTGGGGGTCCTCTCTCCAATCCAATTACCCGTGTCATTATCTGAGGCCAAGGAAGCCCGAACAAATTCCTGTCTAACATGCCTAATAATGGAGCAACAGCAGTGAAGCAACATACTCCATCAGGCAGTAACTGTCTACCAAGGGTCCATAGTGTTTGGGCATCAGAGACAGGAAAACTTACCATTTGGTCAGCAAGCAGCAGAACAGTTTTGAGACTGAACTTCCTGGAGCAGAAATTGAAGAGGTCCTCCAGGCTGGGCCCCAGCAGCTCCATCACCATGACGTTGTAGTCCCCCTCGGCCCCACACCATCTGATGGTAGGGATGCCCACTGGAAGAGAAGCCAAACAGAGCACTTGAGCCTAGGTCACAGCACCAACTAGCCTCTACTCAACTGACAGGCATCAGAGGTGCGGGCTAGTGTTGGGGGGGGGGTTAGAAGATCCTGGCAAGACCTGTCCTCAAGGACCTGAAGCTACGATTAAGCCACAAATGCTAAAAACAACACAGAACAACTCTGTTGAGGGTTAGAGCAGTCAGTGATGGGAAATGAGATGCACCTATGCTGACTTCACACCACTGGCCTCCAAGGGTGGGGAGTGCAAAGCCCAGGAAAGAGAAGGCAGGAGGAGCAAGACAGCCGTGTGTGCTGACCAGCCAGCAGGGCCTACAGGAGAGAGACCACAGCCTCAGAGAGATATGCAATGCTAGATCAAGAAACAAAAGAGAGAAGAGCTGCTGTGGGCTGGCAGGAGAGAAGACATTCTTGTTATTCACTTCTGATGTTGATGAGAAAAGCAAGAGCAGTGGAAACTCTTGGGGATACAAATAACCCAGATTTTTAATAGACAACTCAGTGGAAGACAGATTAAAGAAGACAGGATAAACCTAACAGAAACAACTGACCCAGAACGCCAAAGGAGGGAAGGGCAGATCTGAAGACATGAATTAGTGTGACCCACTCCTGAAAAACTGGCACCAGAGCCCACGCACAGCCACCAGCTACAGGAAGGCACACAGTGGAGCTGAGAGCACGAGCTGATGGGAGTCTCCAGGTCAGGACCTGAGTGCTACAAAAGCAGGCACATGCTCCCAGGACCTCCAGAGCACTCTGCCTGGTTCTCTGCTTGCCCCACAGCAAACTCCCATGAGACCCTCCTCACACACATCCTGACTACTGTCCTGGGGGCAGGTTACAAGTCTCTTGGCCCTTCCATAACAAGACTCAGCCTTATAGTACGCGTTGATGCCAGCAGGAAAATCCACTCATCAAAAATCATTTCAAGGTGGGCAAGGTGACAATACACCTGTAATCCCAGCAACCTGGAAGGCTGAAGCAGGAGGACTGCAAGTCTAATGCCAGACTTGGCAACTTAGCAAGATCCCATTTCATAGTAAAAAGGCTGGGGATGTGGTTCAGTAGTACCCCTGGTTTCAATCCCCAGTGCCAAAAGAAAAAAAAAAAAAAGGTCGCTAGCTTTTTCCTTGGTAAGTAATGTTTTAAATATTTTATATTAAGAAATCGTTTCTTACCTCAGAGTCAGGAAGAAATCTATTTATTACTTTCTTATAAAAATGTAGAAGTCATTAATTGTACTTCTAGCAGAGATGGAGTAAGAGGAACACAAACATCCTCACACTTACAATATCCAAGGAAAACCCCCAAACCACACAAAACATGGAAGAAAATTTCTAAGACAATCACAGTCTCAGGCAGACAACAAACATAACTTCGCACCTGCACCCCAGTTTTTGAGTGTGACCATAAAAGCAAGAATCAAAAAGACCCATGTAACTGAACTTCATTCCAGAACACAACTGAAAAAAAGGTGAGCAACGTGAAAATGCATGGCCCACAAGAGGGTGGAATTACCAATGCCTGGCATCCGAAGGCCACCAGGTACACGAGGAGGTTTTAAGGCAGAAAACCACCCAGTGAGGTCAGGCCCAGAAACTGACCCAGCTGCTGGAATCAGCCGAGAATGGCACAAGATCTAAGGTATAATGAGGTAAAACTGACAAGGAAGTTAAAGGCTCGGAGATATAAAGACCCAAATCTAATGTCTAGGGCTGAGAACTACAGTGTCTGGAGTGAAAAAACCCTCCGAGTGGAATAAGGAATCGGACACCACAGACTCACCCACAACAGCCAGCACTGAAACTCAGAGAAGGCCAGCGAGAGCCCCCGGGAGCCGTGGACGGAACTGGAGCCCGAGAAGGGAGAAAGGGAAGAGGACAGACGCCAGCTCTGTGAAGCAGAAGCACAGAACCACGCTAGGCACGCTGCACAGCCTGTGGGTAACACTGCAGCCCCAGCAGCCCCGCACCACCAGTGAGGAGGGAAGTCTTTTCTGCAGAGGAGGAAAAGCCAGGCGCCAGGCCTGGACCTTCACAAGGGGAACACAGCAGCCACCGACAGCCCACCCTTGTCATCACTCATTTATTTTATTTGAATCAAATTGGCCATTTGATAAAAATTGAAAGATAAGAATAAGCCTACCTGGGATCATGGGTAACCCTCTATTGCAGAAGTCACTCAAAGAGTTGACTCACGAATGCAAAGCACTCTGAAAATTTTCAGCACCCTGATCACCAGTGTGTGAATCAGACCAAGTCTTCAAATAGCAAAGACACACATAAGACACACAATAACTCTTGACAATCCAGTTTACTTGTAATCTCAAGATTCTGAGAACAGCGAGTGACCTTAAAACACCAGTGGTCACTGCGAACCAGTTCCACGCAGGCCGCAGGCAGCTTTCAACCGTGTTCCCTGTTCCCGGATCCCTGGACGCGCAGGCCCACCTGCTGAGTGGGCACCTCTTTCCTTCGGTGCCATGTTCTGGGCTCACTGTAGCTCTTCCTGCCCTGCTCTAGACCTGGCCATTTCTCCAAGCAGTTTGAGCTCCTCTCAGTGGGAACCATGCAAGGGCCAGGTGTGTCACTGCTCCTAGGTCCCATCTAGAGCCACAGCAAGACAGACAGTTCTGATTAGAAGCACTCCACAGCAAGCTGCACTACTTGGAGTATGGAATTCAACTTGTCCCTTCCCTCTTCTCCCTCAATTCTAGACTCATCTTGCCAAATGAGAAAAGCTGCTGGATTTTGATGAAAATTTCACTGAATTTAAGAGCAACTCAGAAAACTGACATTTCAAAGTATTCCTTTCCAGATAGCTTTTGTATGGGTTTCTTTTTTTGCTACTTTAAACGCATTTTTAAAACTACATTTTGTTGACTGATTACTGTTGGTGTAATGAAATGAAATGACCATATTTTGCTCTTCAGCTAAACAAAACTTATCTCTTTCTAGGTTCACCAAGTAAAAATTTTATTGTCTATAAATAATAGCAGTTTTCAGCAATGTATTAGGTCAAAAAAAGTTACAGAATATAACTGTACTATACAACATTCAGAGCTGTATCTATCTGGATACACAAGTGGCACAGACTCACCGAACTCTGGGTGCACCCAATCCAGTGCCGTTTCCTTCCAGGATGAGGGCAGCACTAACACAGTGGTAACATTGTTACCACCTGTGGCATTAAAAATAGAATAAAATACAGTTACCACCAAAGGGCTCCTGCTCTCAGGGATCCCTGGCCAGAAAAGATGAAGCTTTGTGGCATGCTTCATTCTCAGCTGCCAGCAAACGGGTGAAGCCTGTGCAGAGTGACCACAGAAACATTCAAGAGGACATCCTGCTGATGCAAGGTAAAGAACCTTCTGGTCACAGGCTAATAAACAGGACTCTGTGAAACCAGGCATTTCACACCAGCAAAATCCAGAAACGGATCTGTGCCTGAAAAGTAACAATTCTGGTGGTTTTGTGGAAACAACTGAGGCCAGCAGAGACCCAACCACCACAAGGAGGACACCAGCTACTGCTGTTGCCACTTACAGCTGTGAACCCAGATGCTTCCCCTTATGGAGCCTAAGAACCAGACAAATGTTTGGGATGAAAACCAGGGGACAGAGTCATATACTGGCACAAACCTTCCTTATGATTTACAAGAAGATACACTACAAATGTGGGGACTCAGCATTAATACAAATAAAAGTCTTCATGAATTTTTCAGCAATTTTAAGATGACTAAAAATAGCGCTGGAGTTGTGGATCAGTGGTAGAGTACTTGTCCATCAAGTGTGAGGCACTGGGTTTGATTCTCAGCATCCATATAAATAAGTGAATAAAATAAAGCTCAATCAACATCTAAAATAATATTTTAAAAAAATGACTAAAAATGGCAGCTGGGAACATTGGCGCAGGCCTGCAACCACAGATCTCCGGAGGCTGAAGTTGGAGGATCTCAAGTTCAAGGCCACAGTGGGCAAAACTGCAAGACCCCAATTTAACAAACAAAACACCTGCCAAATGTTTCCTGACATATCATTAGTTAATTTTTTTAAATTAATGTCTTGTGGGATGACAGAAATAAAAACAGAGCAGGGCTGGGGTGCAGCACAGTGGCAGAGGACTTCCCTAGTGTTCATTAGCTCTGAATTTGATGTCCCACACTGGAAAACAAAAACCAAAAACCCTGGAAACATCAAGGGGCAAGTGCCTGTGGAGACAAACTCCTACAGGGCAGGTGCCCATGCTCCAGCAGGGAGCCCAATTCCCTGCTGGGGTGAGTGGCACAAGCGTCCACTCTATCATCCACCACACCTTTCTTGACACACATGCTTACAGTTCCCCACACCTCGTGACAGAAGGATCATGGTGTGTGCACCCCTGCCTACAGACACCCCACTCTTTCTGCCCCAGACCACACCAGCCACTTTCAACCTGGACCAGAAGCAACTGTGAACCCAGTAAAATGTTCTCTGCTGGGGGGCTTACTAAGAAGAGCATTCTAAAGCTACTCCTGGGCACATTAGGGTTGGAAAAGAGCAGTAACTGGTCTCTAGGTCTATCTGGCAGTCACTTAGTGTCGGTAAACACTGGCTGTCTATCCCAATCTTTCACCAACATGGTTAATTTTAATTTATTTCTGCTCAAGTTTTCTCCCCGCCCCCCCCCCCTTTGGTACTGGAGATTTAACCTAGGGTGCTTTACTACAGAATCATCTCCCCAGCACCACCCTTTTAAAATCTGAGACAAGTTTCACTAAGTTGCCTAGGGCCTCACTAAGTTGTTGAGATTGGCCTTGAACTTGTGATCCTCCTTCCTCAGCCTCCCAAGCCACTGAGATTATATGTGTGCGCCACTGTTTTCGACCTATTGTCCCAACCAGATTGTGAATAGATGGAACTCTCTGGGCTCCTAATGATGCTCAGTGTTGCAGGGCAGAATACTCAAGTTCCTGCCTGTGTCCCTGGAACACCAGAAGTCTCCTGTACCTCACTTGCAGCATGTGGTTGAGGAGTTAGTACATACTACACAGAAACACCTTGACTTGAGGACAGCGTGTCTCCCTGAAGCAGCGTGACCACCCGAGTGCAGTAGCTCTCTGGTCGGGCACTGTGGCACTACTAGCCTTACAAGTTTCCCAGATGAATGTGTTGTAAGTCAGAGAACGATCACATCCACTCTGCCCTGACTTTCTCTTCCAGCACATCCTGAGATGACCCACATTAAGCAAGGTTAGAACAAGCACTGTTAAGAGTTAATTGTTGTCTCTTCCTGAAGAATAACCCACAACCACCTATGCAGAGGACATGCTGCAAGAGGCTGGAGTGCAGCAAAGCACAGTGATTTCCAAGCAGAGCAGGTGCCTTCATCCTGTACCTGCTGACCCTAGTGTGGTCCTGGCTAGAATTCATCCAACAGGAACTGCTGAACACAGCATGCTCTTATTCCCTTTTTGTGGTACTAGAACCTGGGCTCTATGCACGCCAGGCAAGCACTCTACCACTGAGCTGCACCCTCAACCCTTTTTGTTTTTTAAAACAAAAATCTTGCTAAGTAGGCCAATCTGGCCTCCAACTTGTGATCCTCTTGCTTCAGCCTCCCAAGTAACTGGGATTACAGGAGTGCACTGTGATGCCCAGGTGCAACATTATGTGTTTTCTAGAGCAAACCTTCAAGGTATCTACCAAACATGCAACAGGGTTCAAAACCCTGGTTTATCCAATAGTGAAACCCGACCCACGTCTGGGGAATGGCAATCAAAGGCCCAAATGGAAGAAAGCCCATTTTTTTGGAATCATGTCTGGATTCCAGAATCCTGGAAAAGCAATGTGGGCAAAAACAAGGGAGCAAGTGATTCCTCCCACTCTACATTAAGTTCAAAGCAGGAGGCAATACTGCCCACCAGGGGCAGCTGGCATGGTCTGCAGACAGCTCTCCACAACTGAGGAGGAGAGAAGCAACTGGCAGAGAAGAGCATGCACAGGGAGCAGCGATGGTGCTGGATTTGAGACCTCCTGGGTGGAATAGGTTCCTCTCTGGCCATTGCCAGATGTCTGCACCAGTGGGACAGTTCTTCCCTCTCCCATCACAGGCTCCCCCAGTTTGCATGTTCTCATGAAGAATCACTCCTTAATGCTTTTTTTAAGCTTGTAGGTTTTATGTAACCCCAGCAAAGGTCAAACCCAGTGTCACCTTGTTCTACCCTACTAGTCACAACCTAAAACCTGCATTATAATTTCTACGTCCCAGAGAAGCTGATCCTCTACAGAAGGTCCCTCAAGAAGTCTCTGGCGACCTCTCCTTGGGACAGTGGAGGAGGAATGACAGAGAGTTTTCATCACCGTAGCCTCCTCTGGTCACAAAGCCCAGGACATGGTGCTCTGGACATCACTAAGATGAACCACAGAAACAGGTACAGGTATGCTATTTTGAGATTTATCTGCAGCCAAAGACACTTTGTTACAAAAATGCTGCTTTTGTGGTGAGAAGACCTCAAGCCTCAAAGATTCCCTCAACATCCCCTTTCTCCTACTGGCCCTTTTGGTCAATGAAGACAATGTGGACAAATGAGGGGGACTCCCTCTACCCTCCAACTATAACAGTACTGAAGGCTACTTCTAGCAAAGTGCAGCCATCCCTCAGATACAAACACTGCTCCCAAATGGGTTCCCTCACTCAGGCCAAGACCAGACCCTCCGATGAACATGTTGGTGAGCCCCACCCTCCACAATGTTGCTGTTTCTATGGCTTTGAATTCCCCAATAAAAATTCTCTTCTGCTCCACTAAAACTATATTTTAAGTCCAGAAAATTCTAAAAGCAACACTTCTGAGATCAAGATGGATACTCTCTGGTTCCAGTTCTGGTACACCTACTGGATTCAAGCACCCCAAGGTCCTGGGGCAAGGTTCCACAGAACTGGAACAGGGACTGACCTGGAAAATGTCACAAAAGTTGCTCAGTTGAAAACTTTTATTGTATTCAAGAGAAAACTGAAGCCAGACAGTCTGAAGGGACCCCCAAAGCTGTAAACACAATATGTGACCCACCAGAGGCCATAGTACAATATGCAATATCACTGGTGACACCTGCCACCATCAATAGACACCATGCATTTTAAAATTCACACAAATCCTACATTTCAAGGACAGTATAACCTAGCAGAAGCTAAGAAAAGTGCTATGTAAGCAGAAAAGTATACAACTATTTCTCTTTGTTGAGTGAGGTCTTATGTGGCTGAGCCAGTCTCTTCAAGGAAGAAGCCACAAACAACTTGGTCAAGGGTATGGACAGACACCTTTCCCTACTTTCCCAAAATAAACCAGAGACTGGCTTGAGACACATCCTCTCTCTTATTGGATAAAACCTTGGCTTTCTCCTTCAACAGGTAAAGGACATACCTCCTCCTTGCATCATTTTGTAGATTTTGCTCTCAATGTGGAGCTGAGGGTGTTTGGTTTTGACACATTCAAGCTTGATGGCAACCTCTTCTCCTGCAGCAATATCCGTACCTTGGCAAAGAAAGAAAACCATACACATTAATCATCTGATGTCTACCAAATGACCCAACATCACAGTTCACTGCAGAAATGCTGGTAGCTTTTAATTTTCTGAGATAAACCAATGACGGATGCTCTCCATTTTCAAAGATGGTATCAACGGTTGACAACCGTCTGACAATTGTCTGACATGCATAAGAAAGTTCATTTGGAATTCTACCACCTGCTTACATCTGTACCCATGCCAGGGTCACCACAGCCAAAGGGCCTTCCTTTCTGGTCTCCAACTTCCTTTCAGCCCTGTCCACCGGCCTCTGCATTCACTTGCCCAGGGCATACCACTGGAAAGTGCCATGATACTTCTCCATGCTGCCTTAATAGGCCTTTGGGAGTGTGCTTGAGTCTCCCTCTAGAATGAGGGAGGGGATTTAAATGCCAAACCTCCACAGCCTCAGTCCAGACAGGCATAGCATCCACTCATCACAACCCTCAGCAGTCAGGCAGTTTCAAGTAGGCCCAGTGCCTACGTAGCTGCAGAAGCCATTTCCAGCCAGATTCTCAATTAAGCCAAAGGATTCCCTCACTCCCTTCTAGGGGACGTTAGATCAGAAAAAAGGACCCTTCCCAGGGCTCCACTGGTACCACCTATGGAACACATACTGGGCACACAACTTTTGTCAGTTTGTGACTAATACTGTAATGAACTACTCTATGAGTTTAGAGTTATTTTTATTTCATTCTTTAAAATATTTTTTTAGTCGTCAATGGACCTTTTAATTTTTATTTATTATACGCAGTGCTAAGAATCAAACCCAGTGCCTCACACATTAGGCAAGTGCTCTACCACTGAGCCACAACCTCAGCCCAGTTTAGAGTTTTTATGTAGAGATGTCATGCCTCTGCTTTTCCCCAATAAGGACCCGCAGAGCTGGCAACCACCTTTTCTCCAGGCTCACAAGAATGTTCCCGAGCCCATGCCTGACCTGAAGCCCTACTTGATAACTCCTGACCCGTTTTCATCATACGATGCAGCCAAGGGCTCTGAAAACAGAAACAAGGTCTTCTGCGATGGCACACCTGGCCCTCCTCTCCCCTCAAAGGGTCCTTCTAAATAGGAAGTACTAGCTACTCAGGAGGCTGAGGCAGGAAGGTCATAAGACTAAGGTCAGCCTGGACAGTTTAGAAAGATCCTGACTCAAAATAAAACAAACAAAAAAGGGCTCGGGATGTAGTTCAGTGGTAGAACTCCCCTGAGTTCCATCCCCAATACCATGCCCACCCCTGACAAAAGTACAAAACACTTTCATCCTGCCCAGGGATGTGGTCATTTGCAAAGTGATTAACAGGGCTCCCACAAGCTGAGACTCCTTGGAGACCCCCCCCCCCCTGGAGGTTGTGCTAGACAGACTGTAGTGGAGACAGAACAGTCTGGCCAGCCCTAAGCAACTCAGCTTCTCTTCTCAGTTGAGATGGGTTGAGGGAACTCTGCAGACTGTTTCACAGGGAGCTGGGGATATGAAGGGGCTATGGTTGCACAGTGCTTGAGTCCCAGAGGAATACCAGATCAAGGACAAGCATGAGGACATGACTGCTGTCCAGTGAGCCCCCAAGAACCAGTCACTCTGGTGGCTCAGAGTTCTGCACAAGACGCAGCACTCCCAGAAGCCTACCAAAGCCCTTGGGCAACGAACGCTGAAGATCTGCAGAACTAATAGCACCTGATCATTACCAGTGACCACTCAGATTTAACTTCACATATCATTCAATAGATACTTTGGGGGCAATCACAAGATGGTAACAGAGCTCATTCTTCCTGCCTACAGCTGGGACAATCTATCCAATTGCAAAAGAAATGACTTCATCTAAAACATACCATGCGGATGAAAAATGACCTCTGAGTTCCCCTAAGGACCTGGACTCTGAGCTGAACTCACCATCCAGGAGGAATGATGACTCATCTCACCAGTTACATCAGCGACTCCCTGCACCTCAAAGCAGCACAGCTCCGGGGGACAACACCACGCTCCTTGCCAGCTGGCAAGTCCACACTGATAGGACAGTCTAGGACCAATGAACCTAGGACCAGGATCTTCACGAAGACAGAGGATGACTCTACCTAGTACTCTGCAGCTGATAAAGCTCATGTCTAACGTCAACCCTACAATACTGACAGTTGTGGGAACAAATGACCATTGGCAACTCTGAGAGCATGTGTTATAATAGCAAACAGAGCCAGTTTTCCTACAGGACCATACAGGAAGATTGCCCTGAATCTGCTGACCAGCTGGAAAGGAATGGTAGTTGTTCAGGAACTTAGCAGGACCCTGTCTCTAAATAAAAAATTAAAAGGGTTAGGGACATGGCTCAGTGGTTAAGTACCCCTGGGTTCAATCCCTGGCGCATGTGCACACACACACAGAAAAAGGCAAAAATCAACCAAAAAAGACAAATGCTTGAGAGTAGTACACTGTTACACCCTCCAGGATTTCCTCCATGGACTTCATTACCTATCAAGAAGAAAGACCAGGCAGATGGCTTCTGGGCACCCTGCAGGTCCAAATGCAAACCCACTAGCCTGCAGCCCTGAAGCCCTGCCCCATCTCCCTGGCTAGCAGCATCCCCATGCCCCACCAGCAATGCTTCCCTACACAGCTACTAATCCTCAAGGGGACAAACACAGGATAAGGAAGCACTGACAAGGTCTGACAGCCATTTGGCATTGTTGCAACATGTCTATCTTACTTTATAAAAGTGGAAATTATAAAACCTGTTCCTTTATTATAAATATGCCTGAAAAATACTCTAAGAAGAAACAGAGGCATTTAAGAGCTATGATTCAGAACAAGACAAAATCAGGTAACCAGCAGATGTTTATTCAGGTTGTATATTTGAGGACATTAATCAAACCCTTTTTTGTGCACCTCAATGATTCTGGTCTTCTGTTAAGACAGGGCTCCCTCACTCAGCATAAATGTCGGTCTGTGTTTAGACATAGGATATTGCTAATTCCAAAAAGACAAAATTATGTCCTTTGAGTTGAGCAGATAATAACAAGTAGTAAGTACTGGTGTTGTGGCTCAGTTGGTAGAACGCTTACCTAGCACATGCAAGGCGCTGGGTTCCATCCTCAGCACCACATTAAAAAAAATTAAATAGGGCTGGGGATGTGGCTCAAGCGGTAGCGCGCTCGCCTGGCATGCGTGCGGCCCGGGTTCGATCCTCAGCACCACATACCAACAAAGATGTTGTGTCGGCCGAGAACTAAAAAATAAATATTAAAAATTCTCTCTCTCTCTCTCTCTCTCTCTCCTCTCTCTCCTCTCTCACTCTCTCTTTAAAAAAAAAAAAAAATTAAATAAAGGTAACATGTCCAACTACAACTAAAAAATACATACTTTTTAAAAAAGAAATAACAAATAGTGAATTACATAAACATAACCCAGAGCATGACTCTGTCCTGGAATAGGAAGGAGTCACGCTAAATTACCAGCGTGGCTGTTGGTAATTCCCACCCAGGGTTATCAATAGAAAATAGGGAACCACCTTGGAACAACAGGTCAAAGTCATCTCTCAGGGAAACTGACAAGGAGGTGTGGAAGAATATCATGACTTCTCACTGAGATGCTCATGTAATACCAAATTCCAAGGTAAATGGAGTCCCAGTAAGAGGCAGTGACTGCTTTATTCTCATGGTCAGCCAGCAGTGGGGTCACTCGCCAGAGACATCAGGGTAGTGAAGGGGAAACGTGAAAACCAGAGATGAATAGGTTACTAAAGTTTAGTTCCCCAAATATGGGACATCACGTAGTCTGATGCACAGTCCCTCCAGGTAAGAGATGGACGGACAGATGAGACTCCCAGAATCTGAAGGAGTGATGGTGAAACAGTTGTCGAGAACAAACTCCATTCTCCTAGCTGGGTCCTTGACCATACCGAGTGCTTCTAGAAAACAAATGATGAGACCAAACCTAGACCACATGGCACCTTGCAGGCACTCTATCCACAATGGCTAACACAGTGACGCTCCACTTACCATGACACCATCAGACAAACTGGCCTTCAGCCTGGCCCATGCCACAGGCTTTTCTTCCCTGATACCACCACATTGGACTGGGAACACATGGTCCACAACAAGAGCACTGGCTCCATTTTCAGATGTTATCAAGTTTCTAAGAGGCATACTGCCACCCAAAATGAAAGAATTTCTGGTTTCCTCTGCATCAAAAAAAAAAAAAAAAAAAAAAACCACCACCTCCAGTGATGGGATGACACTGGGAAGGACACTGGGCTGAGACTGCCTTAAACTTACCTGCCATACCAGCACATGACATCCTGCCCAGATGTGCTCTCCATAGGCCTGTGGGCTGTGCTACTGTTCCAATCTGCCCCCTAAAGAGCCTTCAACACAGGGTTGGCTTGGACTGAGGAAGGAGACTGGATTTTTCTGGCTCCCATGGTAGCTCCAGTACACACGCTTTCTGAAACTTGGACATTCAAGAAACAGCTCTACATGCTGCCCCTTCTGAAGGGACAATTTTGGGAAAGATGTGTACAACATGGTCGCACTACAGCCCTTTCTCCTGATTATTGCACAGCAGGAGGCCAGAGGGTACAGGCCAACTAGGGGCACTGCCATAAACTCAAGGATAGCCTTCCCTTCCTCCCAGTCTCAAATACCTGGAAATACAGAAAAGTCCTGGGTTGAAATCCAAAACTACAGTGTCAGGCTCAAAGGAAGATGAGCCCCACTGGAGGAGTGAAGTGCTTTCTGAGAAAACAACCCGAGTTGCCACAGTTAGGAATGGTTTTAATTATACTCACACCAGAACTCACACATAGACTTTAAGTCAAGACCCAGTTCCTCATGTCTGGTTGCAGAAAAATGGCAGATTAGTCCACCCATCCCATGGTCTTCAGACTCTGCACCTTCCATAGACCCACAGTTCCATACTCATGTTAGTACAGTATTTTTGTTTCAGTTCCTAAGTGGAGTGGCTTGAAAGGGGAGCAATGTGGGCAAAGAGACAATGCCAATGTAAAGACTTGTGGTACCCAACCCCATGCAAGTGAGTATGCCCCGATGGACAAACCAGTTCCTTTTAAAACACACAGAGGAGACAAAACAAATCCCTCCGAAGAGGTTGATCCAAATGGTCAAGTGCCCACTGTGTCCAACACAAGGTACCCAAAGGATGCAACACTGAGGAAGCAGAACACTTGTGAAGTCTGCATGCTCATGCAACATGCTTACACCTCTGAATGACACGTGGCAGCCAAACCACAATTTGATTGTCAGAGTCAATCTTCAGAAAGCACAGTTATTTGGCATGGTCTCAGAAAGCAAAAAATTTCAAAACACCTACTTTTTGGTGCCTGCAAAAGGGTGCCTAACAGATTGACTTTTCAGTACAGCTCCTAGATCCTGAGGTTAAAACCTGTGCCAAAATCCATTGTTCTATAAATAAGCTAAACGGCTTCCATTTACCCAGCACTTCTGAGTCCCAAAACACTGGTGAGAAGGCATCTGGTTGACTACTTAGTTATAAATAAATATTTAAATAGTGAAACCCAAATGTCTTTACAGCATACTTTCCTCAGCAGGCCATTGTAGCAGAAATACAAATTCAAAAACATCAAATGGCATGTGATGGGGTTACCCTGTAGGTTAACTGGGAACCAAAACGAGTTAAGAACTACCGGACAGGGCTAGTTCATTAACACTGTCAGCCCTCAAGGTCCTGGAAAGGGTGGGAGTGAAAAGCATTCAAACTTGGGATAATCTGAAAGGCAAGGCCCAAGGCACTGCTGACTCTCAACCATCCCTGACAGGGAGATACACACCCAGGCAGGGCTGCTCAACATCATAACTTTACCCTAACTCAGGCAGCAGTCGCTCTACAGACCCATCACTGTTAGGCCACACACTCTCAAGTTCAGGGGTTTGGAAGAATTTGTACACAATTCCACTAAGAAAATTAATGGAATTTTAAGTTTAGAAAAGTTAATTCTATTTCAAATTCCCAACTAGAAGCTTTAAGCCAACCTTTTATTACCCATGTATACCCACATACATCCTTTTACTAACACAACTCAGGACATCCCCACCCAAATGTTTTTTCAAGTCTACTTTGAGAACTTTAAGTCCAAAGTACAACTCAAAGTAGAACTTTCCTACGGCTCCCCTAGCCTCCACTTCTGCCAACATCTTATCTTTGTCTCAAATCAGCTAAATTTAGTTATTTTTTATTTCCAGGTATTAAGTATTCAATTCAGATGCTTATAATGTACTCAATGACTACTCCAAGGTGGAGGGACTCTGACCAGGGCCAGCCAAAGTCCTAGCTCAAGGGGAACATTTTCAGTCTGTTTATGACTAAGGTGGTAACTTGGAGAGACATGGGGCCCCTCCAATAGGTTAGTTACCTGAAGCTGCCACTTTTGGAAAAGGCAAGATCAGACAGCAACAAGGAGCCTTCAGAACCAGCCCAGGGTTTCCCCATTTGACTGGGCCACTCCCCACCTCCACACTGCACTTGGGTTGTTTTGACATCCCCCCCTCCATGTGCAAGAAGCCGGGTCAGCCTGCAAGTGAGTGGGTGGAGACAGCCAGCGCAAGACCCGCGGTGGAGCCGCGCGTGGCCTTTGTTTACTGCTGTGACCTTAGATGGGGGTAGGGAGCCAAGGCCCCGCCCGGCAGCCCAGGCCCTGCCCCTCCG